TTTTTCTGTTGGCTTTCTGGCTGTATAATTCAATACAAGGTCTGCAACACAATAAAAATATTAAAAGATTATATGCTACAAAAACAGACACAATCACCCCATTGTTTGTGTGACAGCTCAATGTTAGATCAACCCAAAACTAATCCCTCTGCCTCACAGTCTCCTCACAGCCTTGTAATTTTCTGTCAGCTTTCTAATTCTGACTGACTAAATTCCATCTATCTGGACTGACTGACCCTTGACCATGATTATTTCTCTCACTTCATTTGTTCCTGCTGACCATAGAAAAATTTCCCACATCTTCCCAGTTCAGCGCTGCAGCAATAGAAATACCAATAAAGCCACAGAAAACCTATTTGAGGCTTAAACTAAAAGGTGATCCAAATAATGATGGTGGATAGCTGTTTCTAAGAAGTGCACAAAAATATAATGAATTATTATAGAGTCATACAGCACAGAAACAGACCCCTTCATCTAACTTGTCCACGCCAACCATGTTCCCAAACTAAATTTATCCCATTTGCCTGTGTTTGGCCCATTCCCCTCTCATCCTTTCCTATTCATATACTTATCCAAATGTTGAAACTGTACCTGCATCTACCACTTCCTCTGGCAGTTCATTCCAGATACGAACCACCCTCTGTGTGAAAAAGTTGCACCCTCAGGTCCCTTTTAAATCTTTCTCCTCTCACCTTAAAAATATATCCCCTAGTTCTTGTTGTTAGAACATAGAACATAGAACAGTACAGCACAGGAACAGGCCCTTCGGCCCACGATGCTGTGCCGAACATGACGCTAAATGAAACTAATCCTTTCTGCCTGCCCTTCGTCCATATCCCTCCATTCCTTGCACATCCATGTACTTATCTAAATGTCCCTTAAATGCCCCTATCGTACCTTGTGTAAAGACACCTTCAATATCTGACTCTTTCACATATAAACTCTTCATTGATTTAGGGGCTGCAGCACATCTCCATGAGGAGAATTTTAAAACCATTCAATTCATTTCAAATGGAAACACAGAACTGAAATACGAACTGTTATTATAGAACAATCATCAGTAAGCATTCCAAAATAGGGTCACTTATCGAAACATGTGCACTGAGCTCCAGGGTGTTTCAAAATCCTAATCCTATCCAGGAATTGGACCTCAGAACTGTTGATTTTAAAGTGTTTTTGAACTTCTAATTATCTTGAGAACGGACGAGAAAGAAGATCGTGTGTGAGGTTACGTTCACATGATTGAGTTAGAATAAGTTGATTAAATTCTCAGATAAGCTTTTGCAATGAGTAATTTGTAATTTGGCCTGGGTTATATGCTTCATTTATTATAGCTGCAATGGGAGAGCTCCATCACTTCTCCTTTTGAAACTTTTGGACTTTGTTTTTAAATGAAGAAGAGCCTAATGCTGGCAGCAAATGGCTACCACATGGTGAGGTACAGACTCAGTATAACTGCACTGACAATACGTTAGACGGGGATCTGGATTTGTTTTGAAAGCACATGCAACACTGTGCAGCTAAGGAGCCCTGCAGCCTGCAGGCTATTGTAATCAAATCCCCACAACTGATGACCAGGCACCATGACCTTCAGACCAGCTCTTTATAAAAGACAAGCTGTCGTTTTCACTGGCAGTTTCTTCCAGTGACAAATTGGCTGTTCTTGATGACTGTTCACCTTGAATATTCATCGTACTGATGGAGTCAGTATTGCGTCAGAGAATGGGCCATTCTAAAGTTTTCACCTTGTATAAGATTAGCAGGTTGGCAACCAGGAAACTATATTAGTTATTAGTGACAACAAGGTGTAGAGCTGGATGAACACAGCAGGCCAAGCAGCATCAGTGGAGCAGGAAGGCTGACATTTC